GGAGCTCGCCAAGTTCAAGATGCCCGCCATGTCGCCGACGATGACGGAGGGAGGCATCGCCTCGTGGAAGAAGCAGGAGGGCGAGGCGTTCGCGGCCGGCGACGTCCTCCTCGAGATTGAGACGGACAAGGCGACGATTGACGTTGAGGCTCAGGACGACGGTGTTCTCGCCAAGATTGTCGTGAGTATATACAGATTTCCGAGCGGGTGCAACCGTCAGCTATCTAGCTCGCTCTAAGGGTGGTGCTCGGGCTGCGCTCGGGGTGCCGTCAGTTACCGCAGGGGTGGGAGAGACTAATAATCGCACAGAAGCAGGACGGTGCCAAGGGCATTCCTGTCGGCACGACCATCGCCGTTATCGGCGAGGAGGGCGACGATCTCTCTGGCGCTGACAAGCTCGCCGCTGAGCCCGATGAGGTCGAGTCGATCCCCAAGGAGGACGAGGCCGAGGCCCCCGCCCCGAAGGAGGAGGAGAAGCCCAGGAGGAGAAGAAGGAGGCCCCCGCCCCGAAGAAGGAGAAGAAGGCCGAGCCCGTCGGCGGAGACATGCCGCACTTCTTCGCTTCGCCCATTGCCCGCAAGATTGCCCTCGAGCGCGGCATCCCCCTCGGCCAGGTCAAGGGAACCGGCCCCGAGGGCCGCATCACGAAGGAGGACGTTGAGAAGTTCAAGGGCGCCGCCGCCCCTGCTGCTGGCGCTTCTGCTGCCGCCGCCCCCGCCGCCGAGTACGTCGACGAGCCGACGAGCAACATGCGCAAGGTCATCGGCAAGCGCCTGACCGAGTCCAAGCAGCAGATCCCGCACTACTACCTCACGGTCGAGATCAACATGGACCGCCTGCTCAAGCTCCGCTCCGTCTTCAACAAGGCGTCCGAGGGCAAGAGCAAGCTCTCCGTCAACGACTTCATCGTCAAGGCGGCCGCCCTCGCTCTCGGCGATGTCCCGGAGGCCAACAGCGCGTGGCTCGGCGACACGATCCGGACGTACAAGAACGCCGACATTTCCGTTGCCGTCGCTACCCCTACTGGCCTGATCACGCCGATCGTCAAGGACGCCGGCCACAAGGGCCTCGCCACTATTTCTGCCGAGACCAAGGCGCTCGCCGCCAAGGCCCGCGACGGCAAGCTCAAGCCCGAGGAGTACCAGGGCGGAACCTTCACCATCTCCAACCTGGGCATGTTTGGCATCGACCACTTCACGGCCATCATCAACCCGCCCCAGAGCTGCATCCTCGCCGTCGGCGCCACGACCCCCAAGCTCGTCCCTGCCCCCGAGGACCCGAAGGGCTTCAAGACCATCAACGCCATGAACGTCACCCTCTCCTCCGACCACCGCACCGTCGACGGCGCCGTCGGATCCAAGTGGCTCAACGCCTTCAAGGGATACCTCGAGAACCCCCTCACCTTCATGCTCTAAGTCCCGCCGCGATGTGCTAGCGAAAAGGAGCGCAGAAGCGTGCATAGAGTCGTTGATGCTACAGTATAACCACCCCCACCCACCCCCCAAGTGTTCATTAGGAATCTTTCAGCCCCCCCGAGTAATGCATACTATTGTAATACCACATTAGCTACGCTCGAGGCTGCCCGAAGCCGAAAGCTGAGGGCGGCCGAGAGCGCTGGTCCCATGTCCCAACCTGTGAGCACAGAGCAGCGCGCACCCAAAACTTCTCTGCATCTTCGGGATCGGCGCGACCGGGTCTTGCGGCTCTGCCGTTCGAAATCTCGCTATCTAGTGCAGATCCACCCAGTTCGAAATCTTTACTGACTATCGGTGTCCCGCACCGGCAGGGCAACGGCAGGGGTGGGGGGGCCAGTCCGGTCCGATTTGGAAATTCGCGTGGTCCCGACGCGGAATGTTGGCCAGATCGGACTTGGCCAAGTCCGATCGCTGAATTCACTGCCGCACTGCTGCATACGCATACTGCACCTCTCATCTGATCTGCTTGATCTGCACACTGTCTTTCGTTCACGTCTTTCTCTGATTTTGCAGAAAGCAGGGATGATGGCAGGTCCCATGACTCTGCCTGATTTGGGCGACGATGGAATCCCAGAGGACGCAGCCGGTGCTGAGTGACCTGGACGTAGGCGGAGGTGGCGCCGATCCCACTGGATGTCACCCCGCAGCACGTGAATACGGTGCCCCCAAAGGATAAACAGTTTTACGCAGATGGATTCTGAGAAGGAGTCTTCTGTGAAGAAAAGCTGAGGAGTGCAGTGGGTTCGTAGGCCATGTCCCGTGTCGGTCTCGAGTCGTTCAATGGTGACTGGCGATATGTCGTCCACGGCTTCTGGACGCCATGGCTGACCTGGGCTAGCTGGAGCGCAGCGAACACCGCCCTTGGTCATGCAAGTGAAACAGTGATGGACGAGATCGGTTTGTTTGGTTCCTTGAATGAACAGTGATCAGTGAGGAGATAAGGAGACGCCTTCTAGTTCGCTCAGTCTGATGAGCGAGCGACCCGGTGATGAACTGGGTCACCACGTTTGTTGTAGACTGTAATGTACAACAGCACAGCTCATGCACGCTCCTGACCTGACTTCCGTCTTGCCCGTGCACACCACAGCCTCACTAACGAGGACAGTGCAGATCAGCAGATACTGAAGTGAGGCCTGAGCGCCATCAATATGCCCCGCCAACCACCGGCGTTTACGGAAGTAGAAGCTCATGACGTCCCTCCACTCCTCACCGCACATTTGCAGGTGGAGGTTGACCACCCATCACCACACTTCGCCTGTACAACACTGAGCATCCTTTCCCTGTCCTTGCGGCCAATACTCTCAACTCATTTCTCGACCAGCTGGCGCACAGCTGCGAATCGACACACCTAACACTCCGATCAACTCACTTTCAGCTCCCTCGCTCTCTCCGCACCATGGCCTCCGCCCCGCTCCTCCTTCCCGGCCAGCCGCTGCCTTCCTCCTTCACCGCGCCGCCGCAACCGAAGGCCGGTGCAGGCTGCTACGAGTACAACGGGACTATCCTTTCTTCCATTGTCGGAAGACCTCGCCGAGACGGAGCCGTGCGTTTCTTCATCCCTCCTTTGCTAACACCAGGTCGTCAGCGTCGTCGGCAATGAGGAGACCACCGCCGTGCCCGAGATCGGATCCATCGTGCGTTACGATGCCGTGCAAGACTAACGCCCAGGTTATCGGCCAGGTCTCTCGCCTCTCCCCGCAGCAGGCGCACATTGTTATCCAGGTGGTTAACAACCACCCCGTGCCCGAGAGCTCTGAGGAGCTGACGGGCGTCGTCCGTGTCGCCGATGTTCGGTAAGCTGTCCTTTTCTTGCAGAGCTAACGACAGACTGACGGAGCGCGACAAGATCAAGATGGGCGAGTGCTTCCGCCTCGGTGACATTGTCAAGGCGAAAGTGCTCTCGCTCGGAGACGCGAGGAGTTACTACCTCTCCACAGCGGCCAACGAGCTCGGCGTAGTTTACGCTACCTCTGAAGATGGTGAGCTTAAGCGCTTTCGGTAGCTGACCCGAGGCGCCCCCCTTCTCCCGATCTCTTACCAGGAGATGGAGAACCCGCAGACGGGCGAGACCGAGAGACGCAAGGTCGCTAAGCCTGAGGATATCTAGGGTCCAAGGCGTCGAGCAAGAATACACCTCCACCGAGCACACTTGTAACAACAGATGTACCACTATTACTCCTTTTCTGCAAAAGTTAATCAAGACACACGCAAGCGCAAAGTCTAGATGCATGTGAAACCCGCAAGCTTGCGTTAGTGTTAGGGGGTAGCCTGCCCAAACCTGGATGCGACTGCGTAAACCTTAAGTGCTGCGACATCAAACAGAAGCCACGTGGTTGCATCCACTGTGCCGATCTACGCGCACCGGTTGCCACGACACGTCTCCTCCAACTCATCCCCCCCGAAAGCGTTCA